CAAGACTCTTGTAAGACCCTACATAAACAGTGAGAGTAAACCCTCACTAACATAGACAAGACCCTACATGAACACCAGACATTAAACCCTACACAAACATAAACACCAGAGAAACACAAAAACGTGACCCAACATAGACAGAAATCTTAAGAGAAGTGACTCCGTTTGTGCTCATGTGAAGGGAAAGGAAACCTTTACATTTCCAGTGTCTGCAACATGGACTCCAAGGGTAGAGGTCTCAAAAACCAATGAAACTGGCTTTGAAATCATGTGCCTTTGGGCTTGTGTTTATTGGCTTGGTGCCTGCGGAGTGACTCCAAAACCCAGCTTCTCCCCACAAGAGAAACTTGCTGTTTGATATGTTTACATATCAAAGCCCTGATTTTCAGAAGATCCCAGGACTGTGGGAGGTAGGGATTTAAGGATATGTCTATCCTGCAATAAAGCACACACAGCTAGGCTGGGATGGGAGTCTGGGCTGTGGCATCCCACATGCAGGGAGGGAGATGCATGTGCCCAAGTCAGATGACAGGAACCAGCCTGGAGGTTTTGTTGCAGGTAGACATAACCCAAGACGCCAAACATCATGATCAAATCCTGCGACCAGGCAACAGGGGGTTCAAACGGCAGCTTTTTCCAACAGAGACTCAGCCTGAGAGGATTCCAGCTCTGGAGCCCTGGACACCCGAGTGTCCCTGTGCCATCCCACAGCCCCTGCCAGCCCAGCCCTGGGCTCCCCACACAGCTCTGTGAGAGCCCCTCAAACTCAGACCCTTTGCTATCCGGTCCTGGGTTCCCCACATTGCCACTGAGCCTGCAGAGAACAGGAAGCAATTCGAACTTCATTCTGGGGGACTGAAACCTCAGTGCCCTTTTGCCACCCAGTGAACCCCAAACCCTGGCTGGATCAGTTACAGGAAAGGCAAACTTACAGGCAAGATTCCCACTGCAAGTACCCTCCACCTGATCGACTCCCCCACCCCCTCTTGAGCTCAACTAGCCCCCCAACCTGTGACCCCCCAACCTGAGCACAGACACCCCCATCAATTTCACCAGCTCCTTCTCTCCCCTCTTCCTTCAACCACATTTCTTCTCCCCCATCCCCCAAAGGTTCCCAGATCTCAGTTCCCCTGTAGTAAATCCAATCACCCAGCAACAGCAATGAGATGAGGGCTGGACTCTGGGCCAGCTGCCCTGGTGCATAAGAACATATGAACGGCCACACTGAGTCAGACCAATGGTCCATCTAGCCCAGTATCCTGGCTGCTGACAGTGGCCAATACCAGATGCTCCAGAGGGAGGGAACCTAACAGGTAATCCTCACGTGATCCCTCCCCTGTCACTCATTTCCAGATAAACAAAGGCTAGGGACACCATTCCTACCGATCCTGGCTAATAGCCTTTGATGGACCTAACCTCAATGAATCTGTCTAGCTCTTTTTTGAACTCTGTTAAAGTCCTAGCCTTCACCGCATCCTCTGACAAGGAGTTCCACAGGTTAACTGTGCACTGAGGCTGTGTCTAGACTACATGCCTCTGTCATCAGAGGCATGTAGATTAGACACATAGGCAAAGGTAAATGAAGCTGCAATTTAAATGATCGCGGCTTCATTTACATTTACATGGCTGCCGCGCTGAGCCGACAAACAGCTGATCAGCTGTTTGTCCGCTCAGCGCGCTAGTCTG